AAATTTAATTTTTAAACAAATTATTAGGAAAGGTATTGCAGTCACTGAGTACATCGCAGTTCACGAACCGACGACTCAGCACGTAAAAGGGTCACATTTTGATGCGACCCCGGCAACGCGCTGAATAATTTCTTATTCTTTCCACCCCTTAACTATGTACATCAAACCAATCGGACACCAAACACCTTCACCGCTGTTTCGGCCGTCTGCTGCTTCACTCTTGAAACTTCACGAAAACAGCCGGCCGCCGGGCCGACGCATCCTTGATAACGAAAATAAATTTGAGACGTTTTCCAACGTCTGTCTGACTAGGAGTGGGGCGCAGTCTTGATCTGGCTTCAGTGGCCGTGCAGCTCCTCGGCTTGCCTGGCCAGCTCCCTCCGCAGCTTCCGGGCCTGCGTGTTCCGGTCGCCGTCGTCTGCCTCCGGGTCGGACTCGTCGCCCTGGTCGCCGTCCACCTCCTGCTCCTCATGCTTGCGCTTGGCCGTCGCCATCTCGGCGGCGTGCTTCTTGCGCCACTTGGTCCGCCTGTTCTGGAACCATACCTGGAACAGGAAAAAGGGGGGGATGCGTTAGAAAATTTCAAAGAAATTGTTGTTAAATGCAGAGACCAGCACGGTCGAGCGAGGGGGGCGGGAAAGTGTTCAGGTGGTCCTGGCTAATTGCCATTCCGGGAGTCGGGGAGGGCCAGTATGTTTATTCAAAGGAGCTGGGAATTTATAAAACAGTCGTAATGACGAAACAAAACACGAGAACTAAACTGTTGCAATGAATTCGTACGCCGTAGCTTGTTAATGGAGGGGTGGAAATGGCAAGCTAAATTAATTAGCCGGGAAAGAAGATGGGGGAAATGGGGGTCATAAATGCACCGCGGCAGGCACCCGTTCCCCTTCTATCTTTTGGCGGTGTAGATGAGACGCCATAGTGGGCCAGTGGCCGTGTGGGGCATAAGGCTCTCCGGCCGCACAGACGCCATTTAACGAGTGGGGTCGGTCTGTCTCGGGAAGGGGAGGGGGGAGGGAGAGCACCGTGTTGGGGCGCCCGCCTCCATCTTATTCGGCGCCTGTCATCAAAACGGCTTCTCTCTCTCCCTCTCTCTCTCTCTCTCTTCTCCTCCCTCCCGTTTGTGCCCCTTCCCCCGCTCGCTCTTCCTCTCACTCCCACTCCTCCGGGACCGACTTTATTCCACGATATGTGGATGTGTCGTCCCATGTACCGCCCGCGATTCTCCTCATCTTTTCTCCCCCTTGCTTCTCAATCGTCGTGGACCGTCCATATCTTCTCCGCGCTACAATCTTTTCTTCTTCACGCAACAATATTCTCTCTCCCCCGTTCCTCCTTCTGCTCCCACAATGCGACTGGACTCCCTTTCTCCCTAGCTTCGCCGGAACTTTGCCGGTGTCCGACATGCCCTGGTTCCTCTCTCTTCTCCTCCCTGCTTCCCTCCCTGCTGCTTCTCTCTCCTCGTCTTTTGTTTTGTAATTCACTGCTGGGCCATAAATCTTGGTGGTATGAAGTTACGCTGTAATAATGGTAAACACGGAATGTGCGGGACGAAAGGGGGCTGAGCTAATTAGCTGGGGAGCGAGAGAGACAGCGGGAGAGGGAGGGGGGAGGGAAGAGCAGCATCCCCTTCTCTTCTTCACCCCTCCGCCCCCCTCTCGTTTCCTCACTCTGGAGCAAGGCTAAGGCAGCGCAAGCCACCACACCGAATCCCTCATGCATCGTGCCCCTCCATCTTGTATCACTTAGAAACTTTGTTTTAATACTCGACTGTTTCGTGAATTCGTGATAGCGAGTGGCCCTAAGTGGCGCGGAAATGCGGATAAAATGACGCTCTAAGGGAAGTCAACCCCCCCGAAGAGGTCGACAAAGCGGTACCCGGCTCCACCGCCAAACACGAACCCCGACCACCAGTGCCCTGACAAACACACTGTATAGACCACAGATACGCCCGTGTGTTATTTTTCCCGACCGCCTGAATTAGGATTAATTCGTTGGCGCGGAATTATTTTCTGATTGGGACACGAACGGGCTGCCTGTCTTATAAATATGGAAATAGAAAATGTTTTGTTTTAGAGCGTGTTTCGGGTGCCGTGTGTGTGTACGTGTGTAACGCTGCGTCAGAGAGAGAGAGAGAGAGAGAGAGAGAGAGAGAGAGAGAGAGAGAGAGAGCGGGAGAGAGTTGCGCTGGATGAGCTAATCCGTCACTTTGTATGCATTGTTGCGCACCGTATTTTCGTGCCCGCCCGTTTCCGATAGCCTCCTAAACTTACATGATTCGGGGGTAAAAGGGAGAGAGGGTGGGGGTGGTGCGCTCTTTTAAACATCCCCGCGCCGGGGGGCTGCCGCCGAGCCTGCTGCTCGCTTGATCAACCCGGCCGTGCCAATCAATCCCTCTTGCTCTGGCGACAGACTTGGCTGATGGGAGCGAATAAAAGTTGGGAGCGAAAAGAAGGGAAAAGAAGGGCCGACTTTTCCCTTTCTGCTTTGGATGAAGGTTTGGTGGTGGTGGTG